GAATCTCGGGAATTAAAACTTTTTTGCAAATATATATATATATATATAATCATATAAATATATTTTGCAAAACCAAATCTCAAACACAGTTGAAATTCACTGTCGGCAATTTAGGTTTTTTTCAGAGAGAGTGTAAGCCCTATCATTCACTTCGTCCGACAAAGAGGGCGACCTTATCACTATGATCACCCATTCAGATGAATTCTTAGACTGCCCCAACATACCTAGGTTTTGACCCTTAATGGATCTCACTGATTGGCATATCAAAGACTGCCAAATCCAACACCTAGTGAAATACCATAATCAAGTCTAGGGGTTATATGTAATTTTCCAGCTTTGCCCATAAATCTCCTAGGTCTAGGGCATAACTGGAAAATGATCCGAGTTCAGTGTTTCATCCAAACACACACTGCATGTGCATTGGGTCTAACCCTAGTAGTTGAGACAAGCTACCCCAACGGCTGAGAACATTCTAAACTAACACAAGTCTCATAAGTGTCTAGTTTAAGGGGTAATTGCATGAGATTTATTAAGCGAAAGCTAAACAATAGAAATGGTCCTTTACAAAAATACCCCTTATAGTTTCATGGATTTACTAAAATCTACCCTATAGTTAAAACTTTACTTAAACACAACTTATAATTTGCAATGGATTTAATCAATCTTCTATTAGATGATAGTGGAAAATGACAGTGTTGACCCTAATGTTCATTTAGATGAATTTAATCAAAAGAAAATAAAAATAAAAATACCATTTTTGCCCTTTATAAGACACGGGCAAAAATGGTATTTTTGCCCTTTATATTTAAAATAATATAATTTTTAGTATGGAAAAGTGGGAAATTTTCCATATTTCTTAGTCTAAAATGCTTTATATCATAAATCTAATTTTTAAATTTATTTTTTAATAATTGCACTATCATTTTTAAAATTAAATTTAATTCTTAAGTTTAAATCTTTTGAACCGACTGACCAAACCAAAAAATCGACCCAAATTGATACAACTTGAGTGTGTTGGTTTTCACAAAAGGCCAGTCGGTTTCAGCTGACCAACTCCCCAACCTGACAAGGTCAATTTGGTTGGCCAAATAGCCTATGACCGAACCGAACCAACTCATGAACACTCATAATTTCAACTAAATTAATAGTCTCATCTCTAATAAATAACAATAGTTTAATCTCCAATAATTATTGAAGATTTATAGCAAAAATACACAATTAGTGAAAATATACTGATAATGAAAAAAATACAATAATTACAAAAATACAATAAGTACTAAAAGTATATTAACTAGTCAATAAATAGTACAATCTCTAATAAATAATAATCAATAAGTTATAACAAAAATACAATAAATTAAATTTAAAAATTTCACTAACAGTAGTTTAATCTCCAATAATTATTGAAAGTTTTCTATTAAATAACAAAACAAAA